GTGTGTATCTATTAACTCCTGTGGCAAATTTCAGTTATAAAATGTTGGACCTGGGCCATCTCTGGTGGTGCAGTGGGTTAAAGTGCAGCACTAGGAAGCTAACTGTATGTGCTCTGGCAGGAGTTTGATCCCTGGCCAGGGAAGTGACCCTCATGGCAGACCTCTCCTGACCCCCTGCTGCTCCCCTCAGCAGTGTACTTCATCGATCTGCCTGTTCTGCTCCTCATTCTGTTTCTGGTAAATCCTCTCACTGCCCCTGCACTTCTGGCCTACACCACAGTTCTGTGTGGATAAATAAATAAATCTTAAAAAAAAGAAACAAAGAAATTGTCGGACACTAAATTCATGTCAAGAAGTGAGTGAGAAATCAACTTAGGGGTAAAGACAGGAATTTCATTTACACTTAGCTGATACCCACTTCCTCATGCCCACCTGGTTATACTTCATGGGGCAGAAAACAAAGTTTGCAGACCCCCACAGCTCCCTGATCACTGATATCAGGTCCCAACATGGCTGAGCCCGAAGATGCATGTGGGCATGTCACAGATACTCAAGCTCACCAGATCCAGAAACCAGAGTGATGAGCAGGGGGGAATCATGTCCTCACCAAGCCCTGCATGTGAGACTGACTCACCCCAGGGGTGAGTGGGCCTGAAACCCCACATCCGCACTCGCATCGTCATAAACACAAACCCTCAGCTCTGCTCTAGACCTTCTGAGTCTTCATGGTGTCCAGGGGACTCCTCACTACTGGGGCTTCCAGGCTTTAGTCTCCCTCCTCTTCTTTAGTCAGCACTCCCTGGGGACCCACCCCAGATCAAGACTTCAATATCATTTACATGCATCACCTCCCAGATCTATCTCTCAGCTCAGACATTTCATCTCTTCTGTAGATGTGTCTGTCCAGGTACCAACATCACAGTGATTCTCACAGATCTCAGATCTTTCCTAAATTGACTACCTAGGATGTCACATATGGTTCTTCCAGAGCCTTCCCAGGTCACTTCAGGCTCCCCATATATTTATATAGAGTCTGGAATGTTCAGTGCCATCCTGAGCCCTCTGTCAGGGACAATTAGGAAATGCTGTAAATCCATATCTGCATACGTCGAGATCCAATGACTTACAGTTTTGCTGTTCACCCCCCAACAAAACAACTGACCTCTGTGTCCTGCTCTTTCCTGGTTTCCCACATTTATCTTCCCACCTCTCACACTTCACTTGTTGATTCTGCACAGCAGCCACGCTGACCTTCTAAAGAGCATTTGCACAGGTAGACTGTGTTCAGAAAGGTCGTGTAACCCACATCTCACTCAGAAAAGTCAACCAACCAACCTCCTCACAGTCTGCATGATGTGGGCGCACAGAGAGCAATTCAATTAGCCTCTGCTCTGTCACCCAGCTTCCTTGCTCTTCCCAGACACAGATAGTCCTGCCCATGTGCACCTGGCTGGAGGTCGCCCTGCTGGGAAGAACGTTCCTGGATATCCTCATGGATACCACATCCTAGAATCCTTTCTCAAAGGCCAACGTCTATGTGAGGCCCACACGGACCAGTCTAGGGAAACAGCCCTCTCCTCTGTTCCCACACCCTGACTCTGGGCCATTTTCCCAAAAGTCTTAACAAATGGTCAACAAACACGTCCCTTATTCACACAGACTGTAGTCTCCCTTTCCCACTAGACACACGCTCTACAGGCTGGCACGTTTTGCCCATTTTTAATTCCTCGAGGTTTCCTAGATGTACAAATATTGTGTCAATTATCTACCACACAATAGACATTAGTTCAAGGAGTGGTCAGAGTAGAGCACCTCCCTATTCTAGAGACAGTATCTTTCATAATGTGACCTTAGGCCCCATGCCCCACACAACTCCATTCATAGTGAGGTCAGTGCCCCCCTGCTTCTCACCCCCATGCTGCCCTCCCCGCCCCATCCACCTCTCCCTCCCTGCCACAGTGTATTTCTTTCTTCTGAAATGCAATCCTAGGTTTATGGGCACTATTTTTCAGCCAAATGTGTTGTGTCCTAGACAACCCCCCTTGACTATGGACCGGAGCAGCACTGGGATAACCTGAGGGCGGGAAGGGGGCAGCCTCAGAGAAAACAGAAATCCCACAGGAACTGATCTAAGAGGAGGACTTATCTGACCCTCCTCTCTACTAATGCCAGGATGTGGTTCTTTACAAAAGAGGAATAATGCATAAAACAGTCCTAGAAGGAGTTCAAGAACTGGATGCATCTGAACTGTCTAATATCTAAGCAGACTCCTGCAATCAGGCGCCAGGCTGTCCTTGTGGGGACAATGATGGATGCCTACTGCTGCTGTCAGAGACTGGGACACCCAGAGGACATGAGGCCTGGTCTCTACACATGGAAGACAGCAGGTTTGATCCAGTAGAAACCAAAGAACTAAAATATTAACACAGAGTATGAGACTGGAGGGCCACGATGGCCTTATCCTAGGCTGACCCAGACACTCGCAGCCTCCACTCACCTTCCTGGGGCAGGACAGGCCCAGGTGGTGTCCTAGTCCCTGTGACCACAGGCCCTGCTGGGACAGGTGCTCTGAGGGAGAAGGGCAGGAAGCAGAGAGATGACCCCTGAGGAGTGGTCATGTCACCGCCCAGGATGAACTGAGCACAAGCCCCGTCCCCTTCAGCTCCTCACGGCTCCTCCTGTCCCCACCTGCACAGACTCAGCACAGCAAACACACATTTCTGGAAGGGCCTCATGTCTTACATTCATTTCCCTGCCAAGTTTAGGAATATATTTATTAACCCATCAACTCCTCATTATAAAAGTAGAAAAAAGTTACTTTATATTTTAGATTATTGTTTTCGATAATTAATATTATCTCTCGATTATGTACAAGGTACAGTCAGGGATGCAGCCAGCCAGTACCACTCTGTTGAACAGGAACAGTCACCAGGGGCAGAACACAGGCCAGTGTGAGGCGGGTCCTGGGGGGCAGGTCTGGACTAGACCCACCTCATAGTGTTGTGATAACAGGAACACAGACCTATAATGGTGCCCTTTACAACAGGGCCAACCAGTGGATCTTGAAGCCACAAAGTAGGGACTAGTAGAAATCCTGTATCATTCAGTCTTCACAGAACAGCTGTGAAGGAAAATGATGGTGAATCAAATGAGTATTGACGTTTTTGATATCTACCACATCCTCAGAATGTCCCCTCACAGCTCCCCATAACCTTGTCCCTCCTCTCTGCTGAGCACCTCCCACACAGGCCTCAGTGTCTCTCCTTCTGAGGCTGAGAGACACATCAGTGTCCTGGAAAATGTCGTTGACTGGGGAAGAACAACACAGAATCTGGTCAGAGCCAAGGACATGAGACCAGGGAAAGGACTGATCGAGGGACTTACCCGGGGACCAACTATACTGTCCCAGGAGCTCAGGGACCAAACCCCTGATCCACATTTACCTGCAACCTGATTATAGCTTTCTCCTTGTCTACCTGTGGGAAGAGACATCATGTGAGACCAAGAGGAGTCAGCCCATGAAGTCCTAAAGGATCCCCTAGTCCTGAAGCACAGGACTGCAGCTTAAGACACAAGGGCAGGACCAGGAAATATAAAGAAAGGAGATAAGGAAGCCTAGACCAACCATGTAAAGATAATCCGAACACTGCCTTCTTTCTGGTTGGAAGGGGAGCTTGAGTCTGTCCCAGCAGGGACCTTCCCCTCTGACATTTGCTGGGAATCAGGGCCCATCACCAGAATTATAAAGGTGAACAATTTGGGACTCATTTTCATAAATGCTTTATAAAACAGGGAGTAATAGACATCAGCTCCAGACTGGGCAACACATGTATGTGGCTGGTGCTTCCTGGTACACAGGCAGGGCAAGTTCCCCTTGGGACTTGAAAGCCCCCAGGGGACAGGATCCCCCCATTTCCTCCCTACCTGAGTGCTTCTTCCTCCACATCACAGCTGCAGCCACTGTGAGCACAGCTCCAAGGAGAACCAGGCCAGCAATGAGGCCCCCGGTGGGGGTGGAGGACTGAGGAGGGGGCTCTGGAAGGAATGGAAAGGTGAGATCCTGGGCCCTGACCTCCATCTGACCCTCTGAAGGTCCCCAGAAGGGCTCCTGATTCCTTTGTGCCCATGTTCCCTCCTCACCCCATCTCAGAACTTGGGGCTCCGGCAGCCCCTCATGCTGCACATGGCACATGTATCTCTGCTCCTCTCCAGAAGGCACCACCACAGCTGCCCACTTCTGGAAGGTTCCATCCCCCCCAGGCCTGGTCTCCACCAGCTCCAAGTCCTGGGTCAGGTCCTCCCCATCTCGCTGCCAGGTCAGGGTGATCTCCACAGGGTAGAAGCCCAGGGCCCAGCACCTCAGGGTGACCTCATGGTCGGAGATGGAGTGGTGGGTCACCTGTGTGTTTGGGGGGTCTGAAGAGGGAAATCAGAAAATTCACACATTCATTTCCTTAATGACAATGCAGCAGCCTCATGTGACATCCTCAAAATGGACAAGACAATAGTTTTGGAAGGAGGAAGCACAAAACCCAGAGTCCACCCTACTGTGGTGAATTTGAGATAATTTCCAAATTGTTAGAAAGTTCTAGAATCAAGGTTAGAGCTGAAGGTAGGAGAATGTAGGTCTCTAAGGAGAAGAACACAGACATTTGCTACTGACCTGGGTGAGGGTGAATGACTCAGATAAGGCGTCAGGGCCATAATTATTCTTAGACTGATCACAAGATTTTTGAGAGAGAAACACAGGGTTCCCAAGATTAAGAGGATTGATTAACAGGTTAACAGGATCAGGTGAAGTGTGAATTCAGGGATTCTCTCCCCTCTATCTCAGGTGTGAACAGATTCTTTAACTATAAATCAATAATGTACCTTCTACAAGATGAAAAGGAAAAGGATAAAGAGGGCGCTGTTCTGACCATTATCATAACCCCAACCCTCCTGCGGTTCCAGCCTCTGGTGAGATCTGGGGCCTCCTGACCCCTCTTACCTGTGCGCTGCAGAGTCTCCTTCCCCTTCTCCAGGTGTCTGAGCAGCCACTGCACACACTCCCCCTCCAGGTAGCTTTTCTGCTCAGCCCAACCGTCGTCTGTCTCCCACTTGCGCCGGGTCCGCTGAGCCGCGAAGTCCACCGCGGTCCAGGAGCGCAGGTCCGGGTTCAGGGCGATGTAGTCGGCGCCGTCGTAGGCGTACTGGTCGTACCCGCGGCGGAAGCGCCCGTCGGGCCCCACTTCGCAGCCGTACATCTCCTGGATCGTGTGAGACCCTGTCCCCGCCCTGTCAGCAGCCCCTCGGTCACCCCGCCCGCACCCACCTCCCGCCGGGAATAAATCTAAATAGAAAATTGAAAATGAAACCAAGTGAGGGTCCCGCGGGCTTTTTAAGGTCGGGGTTCCACTCTCCTCGGGGTGACGCTCGGACCCCGAGTCCGGGTTCCCCGCCCTTGCGTGTGGTGGGGGCTGAGCTGGCCCAGGCCGCCTAACTCACCTTTCTCGCTCTGGTTGTAGTAGCCGCGCAGGGTGTTCAGACCGTCGCGGTAATACTCTATGTTGTCCTTGGAGATGCGGGTCTCCTCCTCCCAGTACTCGGACCCCAACTGCTCTGCCCAGGGCGCCAGCGGCTCCGCGCTCTGACCCGGAGCGTCGCTGTCGAACCGCATGAACGGCGTGTCGTCCACGTAGCCCACCTCCAGGTACCGGGGGTCTCCGTGGCCCGGCCGGGACATCGCGGTGTAGAAATACGTCATGGAATGAAGGCCTGGGGGCGAGAGGGGTGACTCGGGGTGACTCCCCTCCTCGAGAGGGTCCCAGGTTGCGGGGAGTAGGGAGCGGAGTGGAGGGGGGCAGGGGGCCTTGTGAAATTAATGAGAGACGGTGGGACTAGAGGGCCGAGACTCTGGGAGGGCAGGGGGTGGTGAGGGGACAGAAAGGGACCAGGAGAGGCCGACAGAGACAACCGGCCAAAGAGCCTGGAGACCACCTCTCCGGGGGTCCTGCTCCCCAGCCTGGGGTCCTGGGCTTCACCTCCAGCCAGTAGCAGCCTTTTCCCTCCTAACCCGGCACTCACCCGCCCACGTCTCGGTCAGGGTCAGGGCCAACGAGAGCAGCAGTTGGAGGGGGGGACACCTCATGACCCGCACCCTGGGAAGACGTCCTGGCGTCCTGGCGGGTGGCTGAAGACTTCGTAACTGGAAGCAGCGGTGAAGTTGGCTGGCTTTGGAAATCGTACAGGCACAGGAGATCTACAGGCGAGTTAGAAGCGAAAGTGCTGGGACTGGCGGATCCCGGATGCGCAACAGTAACACTCCTTGCCCCAGACACACCTGGGACCTGGGACTTTGCCCACTTCCTCCCTTCCCACACCTAGACCATTGTCTATTGTTTCCTGGATCCAGCCAAGGATTGGGTCAGAGATTCTAAAGTATTTTCCGTCCAAAATCTCTGCACAGTCTGACAAACTAACCAGGATCCAGGTGTAATTTTGTTTATGAGGTTGTAACTGTCAATATCCACCACACAAAGAATAAAGTCGTTTTAAAACCCGTTTTTCATTTAGAATATTCACAAACCTTTGCATGCTAACATTATTTTTAAGAAAAATAACTTTCTGAAAATAATCAGAAAAATAACTATTTCTAAAAATGAAAATAATGAGAAGGGTGGGTCTTTTACGTTTTATATTTTTCAAATGTGTTTATTTTTTGTCTTATTAATAGACCTTTAGATTTTCATATTTTCTTCTGCACATAGTCAGTTATTTTGACATATATGAAAATATATTTAGTCTAACAGATCTAATTAGGAATAGTATTTTATTTTCTTTTTTTTAAAGATTTATTTATTTATGCATACAGGAACTGATATACAAAACAGAGGTGCAGGTGTGAGAGGACTCATCAAGGACAGAGTGGGGAGCAAAACAGGCAGACGGACTGACATTCACTGCTGAGGAGAGCAGTGGGCCAGACAGGAGAGGTCTGCTGCACCATGTGGGTCAGCTTCTAGGTCAGGAATTGAACTCCTGCTGCATTGGCTGTGGATAGCTTCTTTAACCTATCGTGCCACCAGGAAGGTCTAGGAATAGTATTTTATTAACCTTTTCAAGTAATTGTGACTATTCAACTTTGATGCTAAATTGAAGGTAATTTCTGAAACGTTATTTGGAAAGTGAAACCTGAAGCAATACCATTGAGTACTTCCTCTGTTACTTTAAATCCAAAGACCTCTCTTGCATATTAATGGCTCTTGTACAAATATATGGTTTTTAAAAGTAAAGTATTATTGGAATATTACTCAGCAACACATGCCTTTTCCAGCAACATGGATGAAGATGGAAAAGATCATGCTTAGTGAAACAAGCCAGAAAGAAAAGGAAAAATACCAAATGGTTTCACTCATAGCAGGAGCATAACGAAACAGGCGAGAAAATAATAATGAACAGCTATATACTTGAAACATTTTATTGGGGTGCAGTGGGGAATGGAATCAAAAACAGTGGGGGGAGGGAAATGCACTGGGCTATGGCGATGACACATGGGTGATTTGATGATGGGAAGCCCACTGGGATTACAACTGAGATGGAAAAATGCACAATATGATATAAAAATAAACTACTATATTGTTTTTTTTTTAAAGTAAAGTATTGTTTAACTACACTACATAGAGAGCTCTTCAGTGTTAATTACACTGGAATTAAACTATGGTGAATAATACTAATTTTTTTATAGATGTATTTATTTATGTATACAAGAACTGGCCTGTACCCCAGGGGGTGAGAGGATTCACCAGAGACAAAGCCGGGAGAGAACAGACAGATCTACTGAAATACTCTGCTGAGGGGAGTAGTGGGCAGGTCAAGAGAGGTTAGCTGTGCCATTTGAGTCACTTCTCTGGCTGGGGATCGAACTTGTGTTGCAGTGGCTGGGGATAGCTTCACAGTGTTTTGCTTTAACTCGTACCACCAGGGAGGGCCTAACTTTGTTTTTTACCACAGATTCCAAGACAAAAGTTAGTCAGAACTGAAAGTTTATAGTGATTGCATGCAATTTTCGGTAATTCCAGTTTTCTTTGGGAACTTACATTTTATGAAGGCAAAATTACTGTCAGTTTTCAACTTTCGGTTAATTTTCTTAAAAGTACAAACTCAGGCCCTCCCTGGTGGCGCAGCAGGTTAAAGCACAGCAATAAGAAGCTAAAGCCACTTCAGCATGAGTTCGATCCCAGCCTGCCCCGGAGGTGACCACATGGCGCGGCAGACCTCTCCTGACCCGCCCGCTGCTCCCCTCAGCAATGTACTTCATCGATCTGCCTGTTCTGCTCCCCACTCTGTCTCTGGTGAATCCTCTCACCGCCCCTGCACCTCTGGCCTGTATCCCAGTTCTGTATGAACAAATAAATAAATCTTTAAAAAAAAAAAAGTACAAACTCAACAATCATGTTTCAGAAAGTGACTGCCAATTAATCCAATCACAATAACTAGTTTTGGTCATTCATTCCTTCACGTAAAAAGATGGTATTACCTGAAAAATGAGGCTATTTCACCTCATACAGATTATGTCACAGAAATGCTTTATGTATTCTTTTACATCATCATATCAAATATTTTTAAAATGTGTTTCTGAGGACAATAAAATAGAAAAGATACTTTTAATGGTTCAAGCAGAATATTTTGAAGTGAAAATGATTTGGATTTTAAGTGATGGTGAAGAATAACTATTACTGCAGGTGATACTCAAACCTCCATTCTCACTAAATTTTACCTCAGTGCAAATGACAAAATAGTGAAAAAGCAAATGGTCTCTAAGTGATATTATCCAAATAGTTTTGATTTCATGGATCCTGTGAAAAGTTTCTCAGTGCTTTCAAGCCTTCCATAGAACAATGCTTTGAGAAATGCTTTTTTCTGTGAACCAGGTAGAATCTCCTAAATGTCCTCCACATTTGCCTTTTCTTCATTTCCCAAAATTTCCCTTCCTGGCTTCGACTTACTGCTCCTAAAACTTATCTTATAGCTTTGTGTCTGGGCTCTTGTAGAAGAGCCCCAGAGAGTTGATATCAGAGAAAGTCCTCAGCTGAGAAGGGAAATAGAGAGACATGTGTCTTCCTTTGGAACTCAGAAGAATTTCTGAGTGGAGATATCAGATCCACTTAAAACCTGTTTGAGCCTTGCATTATACCAGCTTAATATAGATTCATAT